AGGCCAATTAGAGTAAGGCATTCGGATCAATAAGCCAGTAGTTCCGAGGGGAGGGAAGTTAAATTCCTTCGATCCAACAGGCCCCTTCGATAGATGCGTATTAAAGACCTCGCCAATTGGCAAAGAAATATTGTCCACTTAAGCAGAGATCGGCAGCGGGCAGAGGTCAAAGGCGATATGCCTTCTACCCCCCCCCCCCCGTCACTCCGTTCACGAGTGTATACAGCTGCTCACAGCAATCACGTGGAGCATCACCGCTCGTCACGTTGGACACATCGTCCGACGTCGAAGACGTCACAGACGCCCTGCGTCTTGGTCTCCTATTCCACCGCGACCGAGCCCGGCCGGATGAGGGCGGTGTGGCGACATCTCCGTCACCACCACCGGGTGCAGCAGCACCATCACTCCTCGAAGAGGATACAGTGTCTCGCAAGACACTCGGCTGAAAGCCAAGAGGTCCTTGACCTTCACACAGTGAACTAGGTGTCACTTCACCTGCATCTCTTGGGCCACGCCCATGATGCCTCGACTCGCAGATGACCGCGACCCTCGGGTCACGCAGCGGTAGGTCATCGACCAGATTCGTACCACGCAGTGGATTACGCGCCACTCCGCGCTCGTCCTCACCAGGACCCAGCAGTTGGTCATTGACCTGACCTGCACCGCTCAGCGGATAACGTGCCGCACCACGTACGCCCTCAGGGAAAACAGCAACCTCGTTACTAACAATTTCGGACATACCAATGTCCAGCACCACGGCCGCCTCGGCCTCGTGCTCGCGCCAAAAGCGCTTCTGCTTCCTAGTAGAGGTGGGTTCATGACTCACCAAAGCTCCACTAGGAGCAGGGTGCGACGCACCCAGCGTTTTTGACTTCCAGTCGATCCATGGCTCATGGCGTTCCAGCCATGCCATGCCAAGGATGAGGTCATACCTCGCATCCAGGTCTAAGACCAAACAGCGCTCCACGCTATCGAAGCTCTCAAACTTCACTCCAAGGTCGACAGAGACCTTCGACACAGTTACCAGTGTCCGCGTCGCGAGACGGACAGAGATCGTATCTCTCGTTGGCACTTCCAGTGCCTCAGCATACAGCTGACTCCCTTCCAGGGTGGAGCGACGGGCGTAGTTGCCCGAGGCTCCCGAGTCAATCAAGACTCTCCATGGCTTTGCAAAGCCCTTCACGTTCGCTTGAACGACCAGCAAGCCCGGCTTGCACACACTCTTCTCGTAAGAGAGCTCAGCTCTCTTCGGGGCTGAGCCCCGTTGTCCTCTACCTCTTCGAGGCACAACAGAACTCAGTTCTTCCCCAGTAGGCCGCCCCGCGCCTACTGGGAGTTGCCGTTTCCCGGCGATGACCCGGAGGGTTGGCTCGCCGGAGCCTCGCGCTTCTTGCGCAGAGGGCAATAGGCCCTCAAGTGCTTAGTGCTATTGCACACAAAGCATCCGCGGATGCCCGCGCGCTGCTCCGCAGCAAGAAGCTCCACTTCTTCATCTTCAGCATAGCTGAGGTCCATCGGCTCTGGACCGCTCGAAGAGCTTGCGCTACCAGCGCTCCAACCAGGTCGCGCCGACCTGAAGTTGTGCTCGGCATTCAATGCCACATCCACCGCCTCTTCAAAAGAGTTAGGGTGTACACGGAACACTTCCGTTCAAGCTGCGCTCACACGAAGTCCCTCCATGAACACGGTCACGCTGACCAGTTCTGGAAGAGGGTCCGCCGCCATTCCGGCGATAAGAGTTCTCAACTCTTGGACATAGTCCAATAACTCCTTCTTACCCTGGTGGGTAGCAAGGAACTTGGACCGGATACGGTACGCCTGATTAGGCGGCGCGAACACGCGCGAAAGCTGTTGCTTCAGCTGATCCCAAGTGGGAAATGCAGCGTCAACAGACGTGCCGCACGTTAGTGCCCATTCGCGAGCGCGACCTCCAAGCCTGGAGATAGCCAGCGCCACGCGCTGATGCTCAGACTGGAGCAGGGCCGATCCCATGGCCATCTCGACCTCACGGGTCCAGAGAAGAAGATTCTCTCCATCCTTCCCCTCAAAGGTTTTTACGCTCACCATGAGCGGTTTCAGTCTCATAGACTCTTCACGCGTCATCGACGCCGCCGCCGTTGCGGCGCTCATCTTCTCTTGGACATGCTCCAAGAGCGCGTTCTCGTAGCGGGAGAACGATTCCAGCCTGGCAGTGACCGCCTCTGGACCTTGCGATGCAAGATGAGCCACGCCCTCCGGGCCAAGCAAGGACATAAGCTTATTAAGCGCGTCCTGCTGCGCCGGGGGCAAATTCGCGAACACGGGGTGTTCCATCCTCGC